AAGAAAGACAAAGGCAGTGACCACATAGGATGTGATTCAAACGGAGAAAGAAACCTACACTGCTGTCTGACCCAGAAGTGAATCTGCACAGCTGCTGCCTTTGCTGTTTGGTTTCAAGTATTTCTAGACATCAGAGTTCATTCTAAGAAAAATAAACAAACAGCGAAATTCACAGCTGACCTTGGAGAAACCTGTGTGTGGGAGCTCACGGCAAGGGAGCAGCTAACCTTCTTCTAGATTTTCTTCTGTAAATCTACAATTGTGAGTAGAGTGGGTTCTTTTTTGATTTTTTTTTAATTGAGATCTATCCCTTGATTAAACTTTTAAAAATATAAAAACGTAGGTACTAAACTAGCATGGAGCAGTGTTTGTAGAGTAGTAAGACTGGGCTATTTTCTGTAGATTGTTTAAGGTGTAAGGATGGCCTTTAGTAGAGTGATGTGCTCTTCCTGTTGGATGTGGGACATTAGGGAACGTTTCCATGTTACTGATGATTATGTCTGCAGGAAGTATGTTTGGTTGCGAATCCCATTGGATCGCATGGATTGGTTGGCACAGCAGTTAGAAGCAATGAGGAATTTACAGGAGCTGGGGCTGTGATGGACGGCAGTTTCAGGAAGGGAGAAAAATTGCAGATACAGTCAGGTAGATGGGTTACTTCCAGGAAAGGTAGGAGAGGGAGGCAGGTCATGCAGGAGTCTCCTGTGGCTCTCAAACTAGTATGCTGTTTTGGAAAATGTAGGGGTTGATGGACTCTCAGGAGAATATAGTACTGACAGCCAGCTATCTGGTACCAAGACTGGCTCTAATGTAACGAGGGGTATGTCCAGTTCCAAGCGATGGATTCCGACGGGGGACTCTCTAGGCAGAGGCACAGACAGACGTTTCTGTGGCCGACAGCGAGAAATCAGAATGGTGTGTTGTCTCCCTGGTGCCAGGACCAAGGATATCTCGGGGAGGGTGCAGAATATTCTCAATGGGGAGAGAGACCTGCAGGAGGCTGTTGTACACATTGGAACTAACGACATAAAGAAGAGAAAAGGATAAGATTCTGAGGAGAGAATATAGGAAATTAGGCAGGAATTTTAAAAAGTAGGTCATCAAGGGTAGTAATATCCGCATTACTCCAAGTGTCATGAGCTAGTGAGAGTAGGAATAGGAGGATAGAGCAGATGAATACATGACTGAGGAACTGGTGCAGGGGAGAAGGATCTACATTTTTGGATTATTGGAATCTCTTCTGGGATAGATGTGATCTGTATCAGAAGGACAGAGTGCACCTGAATTGGAAAGCGACTAATACACTGGCGGGGAGATTTGCTAGAGCTGTCCAGGAGGATTTAAACTAGTAAGGTGGGGTGGGGTGGTGGGGGGGACTCAGGGAGATGGTGAGAAAAGAGATCAGCCTGAAACTGGTACAGTTGGCAAAAGGAGTGAGTCAAACAGACAAGGCAGGCAGGATCAAAATAAAGAACGAGGTAGGACTGATATATTAAACTGCATCTATTTCAATGCAAGAGACCTGACAGGTAAAGCAGGTGGACTAAGGGCATGGTTGGGAACATGGGATTGGGATATCAAAGCAATTGCAGACACATGGTTAAGGATGGACAGGACTGACTGCTTAATGTTCCAGGGTATAAATGCTATAGGAAGGATCGAAAGGGGGCAAGAGAGGAGGCGGAGTGGCACTTTTGATTAGGGATAACATTACTGCTGCTTAGGGAGGATATTCCTGGGAATACATCCAGGGAAGTTATTTGGGTGGAACTGAGAAATAAGAAAGGGATAATCACCTTTTTGGGATTGTACTATAGATCCTCAATAGTCAGCAGGAAATTGACAAACAGATTTGTAAGGAGATCTCAGTTAACTGTAAGAATCATAGGGTGGGTATGGTAGGGCATTTTAAATTTCCAAACATAGACTGAGACTGCCATAGTGTTAAGGACTTGGATGGAGAGGAATTTGTTAAATGTGTACAAAATGTTCTGATTCAGTATGTGGATGTACCTACTAGAGAATGTGCAAAACCTGACCCACTCTTTGTAAATAAGGCAGGGCAGGTGACTGAGGTGTCAGTGGGGGAGCACTTTGGGGCCAGTGACCGTAATTCTATTAGTTTTAAAACAGTGATGGAAAAGGATAGATTGGATCTAAAAGTTAAAGTTTTAAATTGGAAGAAGACCAATTTTGACCATAATAGACAAGAACTTTCAAAAGTTGATTGGGGTTGGATGTTCGCAGTTAAAGGGATGACTAGAAAATGGGAAGCCTTCAAAAATGAGATAACGGGAGTCCAGAGGCCGTATGTTCCTAGTAGGGTTAAGGGCAAGACTGGTAGGTGTAGGGAATGCTGGATGACTAGAGACATTGAGGTTTTGGTCAAGAATAAGAAGAAAGCATATGTCAGGTATAGACATCAGGGAGCAAGTGAATCCCGAGAAGAGTATGAAGGCAGTAAGGAGTGTACTTAAGAGGGAGATCAGAAGGGCAAAAAAGGGACATAAGATAACTTTGGCAAATAGAGTTAAGGAGAATTCAAAGGGATTATACAAATACATTAAGGACAAAAGGGTAACTAGGGAGAGAAAGGGCCCTTTAAAGATTAGCAAGGCTGCCGATGTGTGGAACTCCAGGAGATGGGGGAGCTACTAAACGAGTATTTTGCATCAATGTTTACTGTGGAGAAGGATATCAAAGATAGAGAACGTGGGGAAATAAATAGCAACGTTTTGAAGACGTGTCCATATTACAGAGGAGGAGGTGCTGGACATCTTAAATACATAAAGGTGGATAAATCCCCAGGACTTGATCAGATGTAACCTAGAACTCTGTGGGAAGCTAGGGAAGTGATTGCTGGGCTCCTTGCTGAGACATTTGTATCATTAATAGCCACAGGTAAGGTGTTGAAAGACTGAAAGTTGGTTAATATGGTGCCGCTATTTAAGAAAAGTGGTAAGGAAAAGTCAGGGAACTACGGACTGGTGAGCCTGACATTGGTGGTGGGCAGGTTGTTGGAGGGAATGCTGAAGGACAGGATTTACATGTATTTAGAAAGTTAATGACTGATTAAGGATCGACAACATGGTTTTGTGTGTGGAAAATCGTGGCTCACGAACTTGATTGAGTTTTTTGAAGAAGAACAAAGAGGATTGATGAAGGCAGAGCAGTGGACGTGACCTGTATGGACTTCAGTAAGGCGTTTGACAAGGTTCCTCATGGTAGACTAATTAGCATGGTTAGATCACAGGTAATACACGGAAAACTAGCCATTTGGATACAGAACTGGCTCAAAGGTAGAAGACGGTGGTGGTGGAGGGTTGCTTATCAAACTGGAGGCCTGTGACCAGCGGTGTGCCACAAGGATTGGTGCTGGCTCCACTGCTTTTCGTCATTTATATAAATAATTTGGATGTGAACATTGGAGGTATGGCTAGTTAAGTTTGAGGATGACCTCAAAATTGGAGGTATAGTGGACAGCGAAGAAGGTTACCTCCAAGTGTAATGGGATCTTGATCACATGGGCCAATGGGTCAAGGAATGGTAGATCGAGTTTAATTTAGATAAATGTGAGGTGTTGCATTTTGGAAAGAAATGTCAGGGCACGACTCTTATACACTTAATGGTAAGGTCTTGGGGAGTGCTGCTGAACGGAGACCTTGGATTGCAGGTTCATAGATTCTCGAAAGTGAAGTAGGCAGGATAATGAAAAAGGCGTTAGGTACACTTGTCTTTATTGATTAGTGCATTGAGTGTAGGAGTTGGGACATGATGTTGCAGTTGTACAAGACATTGATTAGGCCACTATTGGAATACTGCATTCAATTCTGTTCTCTGTGCTATAGGTAGGATGTTGTGAAACTTGAAAGGGTTCAGAAAAGATTTACAAGGATGTTGGCAGGTTTGGAGGGTTTGAACGATAGGAAGAGGCTGAATAGGCTTGGGGCTATTTTCCCTGGAGCGTTGGAGGTTGAGGGGTGACCTTATAGAGGCTTATAAAATGATGGGGTGTATGGATAGGGTGAATAGCCAAGGTCTTTTCTCCGGGGTGGGGAATTCCAAAACTAGAGGGCATGAGTTTAAAATGAGAGGTGAAAGATTTAAGAGGGACCTAGGGGACGACTACTTCACGCTGAAGCTAGTACATGCATGGAATAAGCTGCCAGAGGAAGTGGTGGAGGCTGGTATAATTACAACATTTAAAAGGCACCTGGATGGGTATATGAATAGGAAGGGTTTAGAGGGATATGGGCCAAATGCTGGCAAATGGGACTAGATTAATTTAGGATATCTGTCGGCATGGACGAGTTGGCTGAAGAGTCTGTTTCCATGCTGTACATCTCTATGACTCCATGACTGTTTACAGTATGTGCACTTGCCTGCAGCAGAATCACTCATGGAACATCTTGGTCTTTCCAGTCATCACCAACAAGTGACAAGGGGAAGGCAGTGCTCACCTTGGGGAAAAGAAATATGCCTGTTACATGGTGGTTACACATTCAGGTCCTTGGAGTGGGGAGGGGTGCTGGGCCAGCTTGTTGAACTTTGCACTAAAATGATTAAAAAAAAGATTGTGGTTTTTTTATTTTGTTTTCCCAGATATATCTAATATCAGATCCATTTGATGACCAGTGTATCATTTTGCATCATTTAGTTATAAATTGTAAGTACCCACGGTATAGGCATATGCTCCCTCTAATGAGATTGATTTACGAAATAGTGGGGACCGACTGATCTTGGCTGTCACAATACTGTTTCAGTTTCTGGGTGTTAATCTACCAGTGTGTAATAACTTTCACACGAAAGGCACGGCTGCACTAACAATGATTGTGAATGTTGAATATAATCTGTTTATATAGCAGGCTGAATTCCAAAGCTATGATCTGACGTTGAGTCATGATGCTTTGAGCTATTATCTGTTGCATTTTCCCCCACTGATTTTCTTCTTTGGTTGGATCATCTTGAAGCTGAATTGAAAGCCGTTTGTTTTTACACAGCCACTGGACCCATTGAATGTGTAGGTCCTTGGCAACTGATACCAAAAAAAGGCGAAATCAGGCCCATTCAGGTGTGGGCTTATATTAAAGTATCAATTGGGTTGGCTTCTCCTGGTACTGATACGTTTGTCCAAATCATTTCCATGCAAGTGTAGGGTACATTAAGCAAATTGCAGCCTGATTTTTCCCATCCGATCCATTTGCTTTAAGGCGAGCACGGTTTGAACCTGGTTTTGTTGGTTTTTCTTCAATTCTGGTGTTCATCAGCTCCAACTGAGCTTTGTGTCATTTCAGGGAGAAGAAGCCCATTGGCTGGGACACAGACATGTCCTGGTTAACTGGAGAAGAACTACAGGTGGAGGTGCTGGAACATGTTCCACTGACCACGCATAACTTTGTGAGTATCTGGCAGCGTTGGGCAAACAAGTTGTAGAAATGGCAAGAGGTGAGCCTTTAGGGGAGTATTCTGCTCGGACCTACCAGGCCTATCCCAGTTGTCTGTGACATCATGTCCTTGCCGATACAAGATAGGCCAGTCTCCTGCTGTAAAGGTGCAAGGGCAATATTGTCAGTGCCACTGTGAGATCCTCTGGCTGACTGACCCTATCCCTTGTTAGCAGAAAAAGATAATCTCTGGCGCTGATTCCATGCTGTAGGGATGAGTATGCGATTGATCCCTCTGTCACTAATCAGCCTGCAGAAGGAGATTGCAGGACCCCCATTTTGTGCCATTTATGTTCCATGGAAAATGTGACCTAATTGGAGATAAAATGTTTACCACCTCCTTGACAGCCAGAAGTAGTGGGGGTACCGTGTGAATGATCAATCCCTTGCTAGTGGGCTATTGTGTACAAGCAGCATACACAACTAATGGGTCCCCTTTTTTTTTAGAAGGAGCAAAACTGTAACCTCCAGGTGCTAGAGTATTCACTGTTCTTCAGAGCTAAGCTGAACTTAGTCCTGGCCTTCCTCTTCACAAATTAAAGTACTGTGCTCTTGTACTGGCTCCAGAAAGCTAATTAAACCTCTGGCCAACACTGAGCTGGATAACGTTAATGCAGTGGTGCTGCATAATTCGAGGATTTGCTTCCTAAATAGAAGAAACCGATAGAAACTCCATTAGTCACAGGCTGATATCCAAAAATGGCCCATTTGCTCCCACTCAGTTTTCTGTCTCAACTGTATTCCCCCAAATGCCAAACGCTATAATTTTGTTTACTAACCTATTTTGTAAGACTTTACCAAAAAGCTTTCTGGAAATCTTAATGCACAACATTCATTGCTCCTTCTCATGCATTCTGGAAAACACCCAACAGTATCGTTAAACATGTTTTCTCTTTCATAAGTCCATGTTGACTCTTGACTTTCCTCAGAAAATCCATTCTTTTTTTAAGTGTCCTTTTAATTCTTTCTTTTAGATTTTAGAATGGGAAAAGTCCAGCGAAGGTTTACCGGATTGATACCTGGAATCATAAAACTGTGTGTGGAGTATACTTGTATGGTATAGAATAATTGAGTAAAACTGCCACTGACTGGTTTGTAAATTTTTAAATAAATGATTAAGTCATTCATTGACACACCTCATCCATCCCCAAATTAATGACTTTTATTATTCTGTTGACTCTCATGGCCCCCTCCTTTATTATCACAATTGTCCATGTGAGAGTCTATGTAATAAGTGCTGAATTTTGAGAGTTCAGCCGATCCCAGTGCCCACATTGAAAGCCCCAGTTTGGCTCAGTAGTTAGATCCCTGAGTAGTGTGTTTGTCTTTCCATCTCCCTATTTGCGTGTTACTGAGGCTGATTCTTTCCAGCTGCTCAGGCTGAGGTGAGCTAATACCCTTTTAGACCCAACATGGATTTCCTTTAGTGAGAAGGAGCAGAAAAAAACCAATGAGAATTTTTCCAGGGATAAGGGATTCACTTATGGTGTACAAATTGGAAAAACTAGGGCATTTTTATTCAGAGAAGAAAGCGTTGACAGGAAATTAGATAATGGTTGTTTTAAATCACGAGTAGGAAGGGAGAAGCTGCTTCCATTGGCAGGAGAATGTTGATGTTTCACAGTGCTTTAAGGGCTCAGCCCATGTTTGGACCCTTGCCACTCCTTGAATTTCAATGGATATTAGTATTTTAATTGCTTTAATCCTTTAACCTTGGGCTAATTAAAGTACTATCCACACTAGTTCCACTGATGTTGTCAGCCAGTCTGTTAATCACAGTGGCACCAGTACATCATAGGGAAACCTGCATTTCTCTAATAATGACTTAAGAAGTAGGAGCATGAAAAGCCCATTCAGCCCCTCGAGCATGCTCTACCATTCAGTAGGATCATGGCTGATCTGAAATTCCTCTTTCCTATCCATTCCCCATAATCCTTCATTCCCCTGCTGATCAAGAATCTGTCTATCTCAGCCTTGAATATACTCAAAGACTCTGCCCCCACAGCTCTCTGTGGCAAGGAGTTCCAAAGATTCTCAACCTTCTGAGAGAAGAAATTTCCCTTTATCTCTGCCATGAGGGGAAACATCCTCAGCATTTGCCCAGTGAAGCCTCTTAAGAATCCTATATGTTTCAATGAGATCAATTTTCATTCCTCTGAACGCCAGTGAGTGGAGCCTCAACCTTTGCCTGTAAGACAATCCCACAAAACCAGGAATCATCTTAGTGAACCTTGTCTGAACTGCCTCCAATGAAGAAATATATATGTTTAAATAAGGGACCAAAACTGCTTGTAGTACTCCAGATGTGGCCTTACCAGCACTTTGTTAAGCATGATTCCACTTTCATAAATCTATATTGACTCTTGACTTTCCTTAGAAAATCCGTTCCTTTCTAAGTGTCCTTTTAAATATTTTTTTTAGATTCTAGGATGGAAACGAAACAGGGAAGGTTTACCAGACTGATACTTGGAATGGGTGGCTCGTCTTATGAAGAAAGGTTAGGTAGGCTAGGTGTACATCTGCTGGAATTCAGAAAAGTGAGAAACAATCTTGACTGGATAGATGTGATGAGGATGTCACCATTAATGAGAGAATGTTTGAATGTTTAAAAACCAGGGTTTGCCCTCTTCTAATAGATTAGGTAAATTTCTTTTCTCTGATGGTTGTGAGGATCTTTGGGGCTCTTCCTGAAAATAAGGTGGAAGCTGATTATTCGAATATTTTTAATGCAGAGGCAGATAGACTCTAGTTTGTTGTGGGACCACAGCTATTCATGTTATACATTTAATGATCTGGACAAAGGAACTGAAGTTGTTGTTGCTAAGTTAGCAGATGACACAAAGATAAGTGGAGGAACAGGTAGTGTTGAGGAAGGAGGGAGGCTGCAGAGGACTTGGACAGGCTAGGAGAGTGGGCAGAGAAGTGGCAGATGAAATTCTAAATGGGGGAAAAGCTTCAGCAATCTGAAGCACGAAGCAATATGGGAGTTCTAGTTCAAGATTCTCTTAAGGTTAACATGCAGGTTTAGTTGGCGGTTAGGAAGGCAAATGCAGTGATAGCATTCGTTGCAAGAGGGCTAGAATACAAGAGCAGTGCTGTATGGCTGAGACTGTATAAGGCTCTGATCAGACTGCATTTGTAATATAGTGAACAGTTTTGAGCCCTCTATCTAAGGATGCATGCGCTGGCTTTGGAGGGGGTCCAGAGGAAGTACACAAGAATGATCCTGGGGATTAAAGGTTTGTCACATGAGGAGCTGTTAAAGTCTCTGGATCTGTACTTGGAGTTTAGAAGGATGATGGGAGGTCTCATTGAAACTTGCAGAATACTGAGAGGCCTGTATAGGGTGGACATGAAGAAGATGTTTCCACTAGTAGGAGGGACTAGGACTCGAGATCACAGCCTCAGATTGAAGGGATGACCCTTTAGAACTAAGAGGAGGAATGTCTTCAGCCAGAGGGTGGTTAATCTGTAGAACCCATTGCTGCAGAGGGCTGTAGAGGCCAATTTATTGAGTGTATTTAAGACAGAGATAGATGGGTTCTTGATTAGTAAGGGGATTAAGGGAGAAGGCAAGGGAGTGGGCTGGAGAGTCATATCCGCCATGATCAAATGGTGGAGCAGTCTTGATGGGCTGAATGGCCTAATTCTACTCCCACATCGGATAGTCTTATGGTTAAGCAAGAGGGTAGATGCATGAATTCAAGTTTGAGGTTTCGATCAGATCAGCCATGATCTTATTGAATAGTGGAGCAGCTCAATGGCTGAAAGGTCTACTGCTACTTGTTTGTATTTTCACGAAAACTAATGTTAGACTAACAGGTCTGCAAATCCCTGCTTTCTCTCACTCCTGTCTTACATTTGCCCATCTCCTAGTCTGCAGGATTCATTTTGGAGTCTATAAAATTTGAAAGTTATATCTCCTATCCCTACAGCCACCCCTATCAAAACCCTGCAATATGGATCATCAAATCCAGAGGATTTACCTACTTTTAGTCATATTAAATTCTCCAGTACTTTTTTTGTTTACTAACATTTGTACCTTGCAGTTCCTAATTTAATTCTCTGTTATTTCTTGAAGATTTTAACAATTTCCTCTTCAATATATTCATTTTAGTTTTTTGGCCTTTTCCTTACTACCCAGTATAAATTTTCCTGGTTCCACTTGTAATGAACCCACATTTGTTTTCTTTTTATGTGCCTTTTGAAACATTTTCAGCCCATTTGTAGGATTTTCACTAGCTTACTCTCATTCTATTTTCCTTTTCTTAATCAATCTCTTTGCCTTCCTTAACAGAATTCTAAAATTCTCCCAGTCCTCAGGTTTGCCTTTTTTTTTTTGGCCACTCTTGACTCTTTGAGTCTGCTCTACCATTCAATAAAATCATGCTAAACTGATTATAGCTTTGACTCCACTTTCCTCCCTGCCTCACTTAACCCTTGACTCCCTGGTAGATCTGAAATCTGGTAATGCTGCCTTGAATATACTCAATGGCCCAGCTCTCCACAACCTCAGGAGACTTTCATAAATTTGCAATAAATTCCAAATGTTATGAACCAATCGAGGGAGAGAATTTCTCCTCACCTTTACAGGACATTGGTTCGGCTACTTTTAGAATACTGCATTCAATTCTGGTCTCCCTGCTATAGGAAGGATGTTTTGAAACTTGAAAGAGTTCACAAAAGATTTATAAGGATGTTCCCAGGGTTGGAAGGTTTGAGCTATAGGGAGAGGCTGAAGAGACTGGGGCTATTTTCCCTGGAGCATCGGAGGCCGAGGGGTGAAGTTTATAAAATCATGACGGGCATGCATAGGGTGAATCGCCAACGTCTTTTCCCTGGGGTGGGGGAGTCCAAAACTCGAGGGCGTAGGTTTAAGGTGCGAGGGGAAAGATTTAAAAGGGTCCTGAGGGGCAACATTTTCATGCAGAGGGTGGTACGTGTATGAAATGAGCTGCCAGAGGAACTGGTGAAGTTGGTACAATTATAACATTTACAAGACATCTAGATGGGTATATGAATAGGAAAAGTTAGAGGGATATGGGCCAAATGCTGGCAAATGGGACTAGATTAATTTAGGATATCTGGTCGGCATAGACGAGTTGGACCAACTGGTCTGTTTCCATGCTGTACATCTCTATGACTCTGTGACTCAGTCTTAAACAGGAGTCCCCTTCTGTTGGAACTGTGACCCCTAGATCTGCATTTCCCACAAAGGGAAACATCAACATTTACTTTGTAAAGCTCCCTCAGAAATTAATTGTTTTAGTAAGATGACCTCTCATTCTCTTAACTCCAATGAATATAGGCCTAATCATCTCCACCTTTCCTCAGAAGATAGTCCCCTCAGCCCATGACTCAGTCTGGAGAACTTTCTCCCACAATTACTTCCAACACAAGTATATCCCTCCTATATAGAGCTCTTTTCCAGTCGTCGAAGTTCTATTTCCCAGTACTGTGTGCAGTTGTAGCCAGACTTCTTTGCTTTTATATGATGACTGTTGCAATAAAGGATATCCTTTCATTTACCTTCCTAATTACTTGCAGTGCCTACATGTTAACATTTTACGATTCATGTATGGACACTCTGATCTCTGTACCACAGCATCCTACGGCCGTTGTGGCTTTAATTAATGTGCTTTTTTTTTCTATTTCTCTCAATCTGTCAATTTCCAACATTATACTCTATCTGCCATATTTTCTATGTCCCAATCCAGACTCCTCATGTTCTCTTTACAACTTTTTCCCTATGTATGTTTGTGTTAACAGCAAATTTGGCCAGAATACACTAGGTCCCTTCATCCAATCATTTAAAAAATTGTAAATAGTTGAAGCCCCAGCACTGATCTCTGTGGCAGTCCATTAGTTAGAGTTTGCCAACCAGAAAATGATCCATGTATCTTCTCTGTTTGCTATTAGTTAATCAATATTCTATCCAGGCTGATAAATTATACCCAGTATCATAAAAGTGTTACTACACAAGGTTAAGACTTTATGAGGTACCTTATCAAATGGTTTTCGGGCAACCAAAGACGTACATTTATTGGTTCTTCGTTATCCATCCTGCTTGTTACATCCTCAGAGGACTCTAATAAATTTGTTAGGTGATTTGTACATACAATTGTACAGTGATTTTCTAAATGTCTTACTTCCTGTCTAATGGATTTCTGCATTTACCCTATGACAGATGTTAAGCTAACTGACCCATAGTTTCCTGCTCTCTGTCTCCCCCCCTTTCTTGAATAAAGGTATCATATTTGGTGATTTACTGTAATTACTTCAAATTGCTCCCACTGATCTTGGCATAACCTCTAACACCACTCCTGAGTACTACATCTAGCTCAAATTGTTTTGTTTAGCGACCTTAGTAGGAAGGAAATAATCATGCAGTTTTGCTGATCTACATGGTCTCCAAAATGCTTCCAAATTAAAAGGCTCAGGTTCAAAAACGTTCATGGACTCATAATTCCTTGTCTCCATGACCATCCCTAGAACTCTGTGAGAATTCAGAACTCTTCCAACTTTGATATCTTGCTGATCTCCAATTGTAATCCCTCTGATATTGTTGGCTGGGCCTAGAATTCCCTCCTTAAACCCCTCCCCCTCTCTCTTGTCTTTGAGATGCTCCTTTGAAGCCCTCCGACTGGGCATTTTGTGGCCTGACTGCAAGACTCCTTGTTTGGCTCTGCGTCAATATTTGGCAGGTTACATTCTTGTGAATGCACCTCGTCCAATACTGAGGCACTGCAGAGACAAAAATGTCTGGAGTCAAAGCACTCCATCAGAATCCAATTCAGAAAGAATGGGAATGTATGTGCAATTGATAATAAAATTTCTAATGGATCATGTATTCGCAACCTAAATGTGGACACTGCCTATGAGGTAAGCCAGAATTAATGCTCAAGTACTCCATTAAGGCTAACGTCAGGTATTATTTGACTGAGTCTGGCATTGAGGAGCCTGAGCAAAAGTCAGGTCAGTGGGAATCTGGGAGAAAACACTCTGGTGGTTGGAATCATATCCGACACATGGGAAGATGGTTATGATTGTTGGAGGTCAGTCAGCTCGGCTGCAGGGCATCTGTGCAGGAGTTCCTCAGGATATTGTCCTAGGCCCAACCATCTTCAGCTACTTCATCAATGACCTTCCCTCCATCATAAGGTCAGAGGTGGGCATGGTTTGCTGATGGTTACAGTGTTCGGTTCTGCTTGTAACTCCTCACATGCTGAAACAGCCCATGTGTATATGCAGCAAGTTGTGGACTGTGTTCAGGCTTGGACTGATAAGTGGCAAGTAACCTTCATGTTGCACAAGTGCCAGGTGACCATTTCCAACAAGTGAGAGTTTCACTTTTGTGCCTTGACATTAAGTGACATTGCCATTGCTAAATCCTTCACTATCAACATCCTTGGTGTTATCATTGAACAGAAACTGAACTGAACCAGCTTATAAATACTTAGCTACAAATGTAGGTCAGAGTCTGCGAATTCTGGGGAAGTAATTCACCTGCTGACAGCCCTGAGCTTGTCCAGTTCAAATGTCCTTGTTAAAATAAAATGCCTGAGTAAGCAGGAAAGGACGGGTTCAGACAGCCTGCGTGTCATCCTTGGACATGTCTCTATGTGCTTGCCGTCCCAGAAGAAGAATTGGTATCTCATTAAATGATACATCAGTTCAGTTATCTGATGCTTCCAGTATAAAACTGATCTTGACACTGACCCTGATGATGGTTCTGTTAACCTAAGCATAACTTTTGTTGCTTTTCCTTTCAGGTTCGAAAGACATTTTTCACTCTGGCGTTCTGTGACTTTTGCCGAAAGCTTCTGTTCCAGGGTTTTCGTTGTCAGACGTGTGGATACAAGTTCCACCAACGTTGTAGCACTGAGGTTCCTCTCATGTGTGTCAACATTGACCAGCTAGAGTAAGTACATTCATACTGCAAAGAAGGCATTCGGCATCATTGGTTGGTGAAGGAATGTCTTCAGATGATGTTGAGTGAGACCTTTATGCTTTAGAGTTAACTTTGGATAATCCCTTCTGATTGGGAAGGTTCAAGTGTAGGTTATAGGGAGCAATCAATACCTTTTATCTGATCAGTTTCAGAGATCGAGAGGATAGTTTGGTGGTTCTGGTCCTTAACTAATATGTACATGATTGAGGTGAGTGTATTGTATGAAAGTTTACTGAAAATATCAAGATATGTGGAAAAACAAGCCTTAAGGATGCAAAAAAACTGAAATTGGATATAGTTAGCTTACATAATTGGAAAAAGTACATAAATCAGAATATCTTCTAAATGGCATGAGACCGGAAATAGTGCTGTTTGGAATGATCTGCATGTACTTGTGTATGAATCATAAAGTTAACTGGCAATGTAGCAAAACAGTTGATGTATTAGCATTTATTACAAAGGGATTGGAGTATAAGAGTAAGCTTGAGGAGACTGGGTCTATAATTCTGGGGTTTTGAAGAATTGAGGTGATTAATTAAATAAAATGAAGTAAGATTCGTAAGGATGAGAATAACGTGGTAGATACCAGGAGGATGGTTCCCTGGCCAGGGGAATTGAGAACTGAGGGTCACAATCTCGATGAGGGATTGGGCCTTTAGGACAGAGATGAGGGGAGGTTCCTTCATTCAAAGAGTTTTGAACTTCAGAAATTCTCAAGGAATTGAGGGAAATGGGTATTACTGTGGTGAAAGTCAGCCATGATCTTATTGAATGACAGCAGGCATGGGGACGTACGGTTTGGGCAGAAGTGGGCAAATAGCATACCCAGCTCCTTTTCCTCATATATCTGAATTCAGATTGCCTCGTCAGGGTACGTTGTGAACTTGCTTTCAATAAATTTGACCTTTTGTGATTGGTATCAAGGAAGGACCATGAGAAAAATTGTTGTAGGAACTGAAGTGATTCACTCGTATGTTTCAGTGAAGGCGAACTGCCAGTCCATCTAGTCTGTCACTGATAATAACGTTGAGGCCCACAAACCTCATTCCCATTGTAAGGCAATGAGGGGGTGAACATTGCAACTCTGTCGGTGTAGCATAGAAGAAAGAATGAAATCTCCCAAACAAATGTGACCTGAGATGTTCATTTTTAAAATTCCAGTTTCAAGGACAAATGTCCTATTCATAATCTTTTAAGATTGCGTTTTTTTTCCCTCCATTTATTGTTTGTCACCGGTCTTAATTAATAGGGTTGTTTATTCTGTAAAAGTTGCTGCTTAAATGCAAATTGTTATTGGAACTACATGATGGGAAAAGTCATTGGAGGTAGTATGTAATTCATTAAAAATGCATTTATTACAGAATCCCTACAGTGTGGAAACAGGCCCTTTGGCCCAACAGGTCCACACCGACCCTCAGAGAATCCCACTCAGACCCATCCCCCTAATTTACACATCCCTGAACACTCTGGGCAATTTAGCATGGCCAATCCACCTAACCTGCACATCTTTGGACTGTGGGAGGAAACCCAAGCAGACACGGAGAATGTGCAAACTCCACACAGACAGTCGCCCGAGGCTGGAATCGAACCTGGGTCCCTGGCACTGTGAGGCAGCAGTGCTAACCACTAAGCCACCGTGCCCATAGCTCATGTTTCACTCATGGCAAATCATATTGTTCTCGCCTCGAATGGCTGAGCTGAAAATGATCAGTGCTGACCCCAAATCATATGTGATTCACTCCAGAGATGGCGAATCTGCACTTGTTTTTCTCCATAGACCAAATGAGTGTGGATTTTAATAAAAGCAAAGTAATTATAATTTTATGACCTCACATCCATTACTCATTGCTGAAACTTAGAGTCCAACTGTGGCTCATTGGACTTTAGAGTCAGCAGGTTGCAGGTTAAAACCCTACTCTAGTGATCTGAGCACATAATCTTAGCAGATGCAAAAGATTGTTTGCTGCTGTTTGAAGAAGGGTGATAGAGCTCGCACTTCGTTCCTTATAATGGATTGTCTGGTCTTTCAACTCACTGCTGTTTGTAAGAGCTTGCTTTGTGCAATTTGGCTGCCATGTGTCCTCAAACTTCAACAGTAACCAAACTTGAAAAGTGCTTCACTGGCTCTTTGGGATGTCCTGAAGGAGTGAACGAATACAAACTTTGCATTTTGTTTCTTTTTAGCCACTTGTGGAATAGTGTGTACTGATTTTGTTAATCTGACCAAAATAAATTGATGCAATAATCTTTTCTTCTCAACCCCACATTCCTCCCCAATTCCTCCTGGCTGCTTTTGTTGTCCGTTTTCTTCTAGTCTGCTCATTCTTTCCCGAATCTATGAAAACCATCCCATTACGCAAGACGATGTATCGTCTGGAACAACGCCACCGGGTTTGGGGATGTATCCTTCAGTTCCACCATCCGATTCCACAGGGTAGGTCCTTTACAGGAATTCCTCTGTATCTCTCTCTCTCTCTCTCTCTCTCTCTCTCAATCCTGCAGTTGCCCTGTGTTCTGTTTCTCCAGTGGTTATAGATCTTCAGTTTACTCTGTTGGTCTTGGTCCCATTCCATCAGTTGTGAGCATGAGCAATTCATCAATTCAATGGGACATTGGTCATTGACGCTTGGTTACCATTTGCTCTATTTGACCCTGTATAACAGTGGCTAAGACTGAGGATGTCATCTCTCCCATGACCACTCCTCACTCTAGTCTCTAGTTCTCCTCTTGTGGAGACATGTTTCATTCCCATCCTGGCCACTGCTGAAATTTGAATTCGGTAAATAAATCTGGAATTCAAAGTTGGCCTAATGGCGACTGTGTAACCATTGTCAATTGTTGTAAAATCCCATCTGGTTCACTCATGTCCTTCAGGGAAGGAAATCTGTCCTTACCTGGTCTGGCCCACATGTGACTCCAGACCCATAGCAATGGGGTTGACTGCCCTCTGGGCAATTGGGGATGGGAAATAAATGCTGGCCAAGCCAGCAACACCCACATCTGTGAAGAAATAATAAAAGGTACTGAAAACAAAAAGTGCTGGAGATCACAACGGGTTAGGCAGCATCCATGGATAAAAAGCAAACTTACATTTCAAATCTAGATGACTGTTCATCAGAGAGGGATGAAGAGTGAGGTGAGGAAGAATGAGGTGTGGAGGAAGGACAAGATTGAACACGAGATTAGTTAGTGGAGGCTGGGGACAACAAAAATTTGTATGAGTGACAGTGAGGCATGGACATCGACTAGGAAAGGAAACAGGAGGATACAGGAAAGGAAGAAGAAATTCTGAAGGCAGAGAACTGAGGCAGAAGCAGGAGTGGAGACAGCGGAGAGAATCTGAATTCGAGGGAAGAATCAAACAGTTGTTAAGCTAGATGTAATCCAAGGAATGCACATCAGTCTGGAGTAGTATTTTCCATATAGTCATAATTATGTTCTACTCATAAATGATTTAATTCACCACAACCCTTGTATATTTGGTCCAATGATCAGCATATTAGAGTATCACCTTATTGAGTTGAAGCCCATGATTGCAGTTTGCTGGGAATCGATATGAGCCCTACTGATTTTCTGGATCTGTATCTGTGTCTTAGGCTTGGCTGTACGGCACAGTTTCACAACTTGCAGAATTTTGACACAAACCTATTGAGACCTGTGAGAAGGATAGTGTTAGACTTCAAGTGGACACTTCTAGGACAGTGGAATTGGTGGAATGCTGTGAAGTGTTAAGAGATTCATTTTGATATAAGAACGAAGAGAGGCGATTTTAAAATAATTTTAAAAAGAGGCTGTGTAAACACACCAGTGATTATATGCACGGACTAGTCTATGAAGGTAGCACAACACATTAACAATGTGGCTGAATAGGCATATGGGATCCTGGGCTTTACAAATTGAGGTATGAAATATAAAAGTAAAGAGGTTAGGTTGAACTTTGGAGTATTCTTTATAATTTGGGACATTGCACTTTATGATGAAAATGAAGGATTTAGAGAGGCTGCAGAAAAGAATACTGAGAGTGATAGGTTTCGCTTACATGCTAGATTAAGGAAGTTGGGTTGTTCTCCATTGGAGATGAGAGGCTGGAGAGAAGACTTGATAAAGATGGCCAGAATCATAAAGGGGCTAGGCATTAGCTAGAAACTGTTCCATTGATCAGGAGCAAGAGGAATTAGTGATTGGAAAAAGAAGCAGTGAGAAGCTTTTTCTTTGCATCGAGTGGTTAGGCTCTGCCTGAGGATGTGGTGGAGACTGTTTCAATCTTTAGTTTCCAAAGGGTGAAAACTTGAATGGAAGAAAAGTTCAGGTCAGTGGGGTGACCGGAGGGACGTGGGACTAGCTGAACGGTTCTTACAGAGAGCTAGAACAAATCCAGTGGGCAGAGAGGTCTCCTTATGTGCTAGAACCTATTTGCAGTTCTGTCAATTGTGCATTAGGCGGTCATAAGAAGTAGATATATGAC